GCCGCACTCTCGGCCATCATCGCCAGCTTGGCCCAGAACCCCACCGTCCTTAGCGCACTCATGCCAAGGACTGGGGAGAACACTACGCCGCCTCCTCAGCCCCAGCCGTTGGCCATCAAGCTAGGCAACAACGAAGGGTGGTGCCCCAGGACACGACGTCGTCCCACTCCCACCCTGCTTCCCCACTTCGAGCTGGACCGACCCCAACGCGTGGAAAAGCCTCGGCCTTTAATAGGCTAGGTGACACGTGTCGTCGGCCTGCTTCGGAGAGGATGGCGAGACAGATTGGTGAGCGTGAGCCTGGCTCACCAAGGGAAAGCTTGGGGTCCGTATCCCAGACAGCGGATCGGCCCCGCCTAGACAAAGGCAAAAGAAAGCTGCATGAGGGTGACCCACGTCACCAAATCAACACGGCTCACGTAGCCCGCTTGCAGACGCAAGGCGCCACCATGGCCGCCAAGGACCCTCAGGACGAGGTCATTGCCCAGTTGGAAAGGAGGCTGGCCCAGATGGAGGCCAGACAATCGGCCACCATCCCTATGGCCAACACTTCCGGGGATCCTGGTTACAGCGCGCTCATGCATAAAGTCAGCGCCCTAGAGAGGGAGATGGCCGAGGGACGAGGTGACCCTATCATCCACGTCCGAACCAGGACTCCTTTCACTGCCAGGGTACTCTCGACCCCCATCCCCGAGAAGTACAGGGGAAATGCCATCAAGCCCTATGACGGCCGCTCCGACCCTCAGGAGCACTTCAACCGCTACAAGAACAACATGCTGATGATGAACGCGTCAGATGAATACCTCTGCTGTTAGTTCCTCTCCACTCTAGAAGGGCCGGCGTACGAGTGGTTCAACACGCTCCCCGAAGGAAGCATAGACTCATGGCAGGATCTTGCCCAACGCTTCCTCACCCATTTTGCCGGGAGGAAGCGCGTGAAGAAATATTTCACCCATCTTCTCTCCGTCAAGCAGCACCCCATATGCGAGGGAGACCGATGAGGTCGAGGGGGGCGATGAGTGCACACTCCTTGTCCTTTTTCAGGGTGCCCTCCGCAGCACCCCATATGCGAGGAGTCTCATCACTGACCCTCCAAGGTCCTATATGAAGGCGCTCCAGCGAGGGAACTTATACGCTGACGCCGACGAGCTCCACAACCACAAGAAGGACGGAGGGCACCCTTCCAAGAAGATGAATACTGTGCCAACTCCAGGCGCACCCTCGGCCGGAGACCGCGATCAGGGACGACAGAGCCGCCATGGGTCTGGCGGACAGAACAAGAAGGACCGCCCATGGCAGCTAAGGATGGAAAGGCCGAAGATCCCCCTCACTCATTCGGTCAGCTCCATCCTCGATTATGCCGAGGAACATGATCTCATTCAACGAGATCCTCGGTCGGCAAAGGAAATCTACGCCGTCCATCAGGGCGGCACCTACTGCCGTTACCACAGGAACACCTCCCACAACACAGACGACTGCGTCACACTTAAGAGAGCCATCGAGAAGTTGATTCGCCAGGGGGAACTCTCCCAATTTGTTAAAGGTGGCCCACGCAAAAATACGTGGCTAAACACCGACAAAAATGGGGGTGAACCCTCTACGAAGAAGCGTGAGATCGACAGACTCGGCGATGACGACGAAGAGTTCGAAGAGCCCCCTCCGAAGAAGAACCACATCCATCTTATCATGGGGGCAACACTGGGGGGGGGGACTCAACCACCCATAGGAAGAAATGGGTCCAATCCCTTTACATCGGGGAGGTGTCCCACGCTCCCCCCTAACCGAAGAAGCAGCGGACGGAGGCGATCATCTTCACCAACAACGATCTGCCTCCAGGCCCCGCATCACACAGGGACGCCCTCGTCATCCGATGTGAGATAGGTAACTCTATCATCCCCCGCACTTACATCGATACGGGGAGCTCCGTCAATGTCATGTACCTTGACACGTTCAAGCAGCTGAAGCTGAACAAGGCCCTGCTCAAGTCGATACAGACACTGTTGTCCGGCTTCACTGGGGGCTCTATCGACGCCGAAGGCACGATAGTCCTCCCCGTGGAGGTCGGCGACGGCTCCCATCGCGCCAAGATTGACACGGAATTTATGGTGGTCAACCTCGAGTGCGCCAACAACCTGATTTGGGGGAGGCCGGCACTAGAGGACTTGGAGGCCATCATCTCCATGAAGCACCCGTGCCTGAAGTTCCCTACCAGTGGCGGTATCGGCTACACCAGGGGGAATCAGAGGATAGCCAGAGCATGCTACCTCAAGCTGACGAAGCCGGCCGCGGTCACCGAGCAAAGGGTAGACACTATCACCGCCACCGTCGCCAAGGATAAGGAAAGACCACATGCTGAGCCAACCGAAGATGTCAAGGAGGTCCCCCTGGACTCTTCTTGGCCAGAGCAAGTCCTGAAAATTGGGAGACAACTCCCCCGGGACTAACGCGACGACATCCTCCAAGTCTTGCGGTCATATGCAATCATTTTTGCGTTGGGGCCGGACGACATGCCAGGCATCAGCCGAAAGGTGATCACTCACCGACTGTCAGTTGATCCCGCCTCCACGCCAGTCAAGCAGAAGCGGCGCTACCTTTCGGCTGGCAGATGAGGCTTCATCAAGGGGGAGGTCACCATGCTGCTCTCAATCAGCCACATCAAGGAGGTGAAGTACCCAACCTGGCTAGCCAACGTCGTCCTTCCCCAGAAGCCGCCGACGTTCAGAATGTGCATTGATTACACTGACCTGAACAAGGCGTGCCCTATGGACCCTTTCCCTCTCCCCAACATTGATCAATTGTTGGACGAGACGGCGGGGTGCGAGCTGATGTCGTTCCTTGATGCCTTCAGGGGGTACCACCAGATCTTCATGAAGATGGCCTTCATGACCCCGGAGGGAATTTTCTGCTACCTCGTCATGGCCTTTGGGCTCAAAAATTCAGGCGCCACATACACCAGGATGGTAGCCAAAGTCTTTAGAGCAGTCCTCGGCCGGACGATGGAGGCATATGTCGACGACATGATCGTCAAGAGCAAGCAATCTACCACTCATGCTGACGACCTCCGAGAAATTTTTGAAATTATGAAGAAGTTCCAGCTCCGCCTGAACCCGAAGAAGTGCACCTTCGGCGTCCAGGGAGGCAATTTTCTCGGCTACATGGTCAGCCGAAGGGGCAATGAAATAAATCCGGAGAAGATCCAGGCCATTGTTAATATGGAGCCACCACGAAATGTGAAGGAGGTACAGCGGCTGACGAGACGCCTTGCGGCCCTAAACCGTTTCCTCTCGAAATCGGCTGAAAGGTCTCTCCCTTTCTTCCAAATCATGCGCAAGGCAAACAACTTCAAGTGGACCACGGAGTGCCAGCAAGCGTTTGAGGAGCTGAAGCAGTACCTATCATCCCCTCCTGTGCTTTCCAAGCCCAAAGCCGGTGAAACCCTCTTCTTGTACTTGGGGGTGAGCACGTTGGCTATCAGTTCCGTGCTCATCCACGAGGATGAAGGGGTGCAAAAGGCAAATTTCTACGTCAGCAAGACGCTACGGGAGGCCGAGCTCAGGTTGTTGATCGAATACCACCCTCGGCCTCGAGCCATTTATCAATAAAAGTTGTATTCTACTTGCTTTTTGTAAACAAGTTTAAGGAAAAGATACCATATCACATCGACCCCTTAGAGCGAAACGCTCAGGAAAGGCCGACATAGCACAACGTATCGGCCCCTTAGAGCGAGACGCTCAAGCAAGACCGACGGTGTCCCCAGGACGAGGGGCCCGCAAAGAGCCCATGTCTTGAAATGGGAAGCTCACCGCGTCATCCACTCGCGAAATCGCAGGACGACAGGTCTGAAATCATGGTCGAGGTGACAAAAATCCCCAAACTCAGGGAAGAGGAACGGCAGCTGTCAAGAACCGACCAAAAGCCTTAGCCCTCATCATAAATATACGACGGGACCTCCCTGAGATCACAGGACGATCCAGTAGGACTCCCTACCGGCCGAAGGACTATCGACCCCCTCAGCCGAAGCCCGAAAGAAGAATACCCACTCCTCGCTCAAAGTAAAGAGGAAGAATATAAAAGAGGGACAGCCGAAGGTCCGCACACTTGCTAGCCTGGAGCAAAATCCCCAAAAATAAAAGAGGGACAGCCGAAGGTCCGCGCACTTGCCGGCCTAGAGAGAAATCCCCAAAAATAAAAGAGGGACAACCGAAGGTCCGTGCACTTGCCGGCCTGGAGAAAAATCCCCAAAAGTAAAAGAGGGACAGCCGAAGGTCCGTGCACTTCCCGGCCTAGAGCGAAATCCCCAAAAATAAAAGAGGGAAAGCCAAAGGACCATGTTCTCTCCGGCCTCGAGCAATAAAAATAAAATCCCCAAAATTGACTAAGTACATATCAGTTAAACAGTACGGAACATGTAGCATGGACGAAGCATTCATACGCAAGCTACCAAAAAAAAGAGATTTGGAAAAAAGTTCCATGGCAAACTCTTTTGGCTGATGAGGGCACGGGATAGCCGGCAGGAAATCAAGTGGTTTGAGGAGAATGCCTTCAGCCGACCAAAAAGGCGAAGCCTTTCATCGGCCATTCCCAAAGGAAGTAACTACCTAAGCCTGTCCAACACTTAGAAAAATTTCAATGTACGTGGGAAAATTCCCAAGTGGCATCGAGAGCGGCCGACAAGAGTCCCAAGGCCGAAGGTGAAACCAATCACCTAGTTTCCTTTAGCCGAAAGTTGGAAAAAACTCTCGGCAGCCGAAGAAGGGCCAACGACACTCATCGTCTACACTTAGAAATATTTCCAAAAGTATGAGATAACCAACAAGCAGTACGAGGGCGAGGGGGACATCTCTCCCTCAGTTGAGCAAAGGGCGATACCCTTCATCGGGCACAACCACAGGGAGCAAGTACTTGAGCTTTTTTGTTTGACACTTAGAAAAATTTGGAAAGCAAAGACAAAAAGAAAGAAACGACAAATAACAGCCAACAAAGACGAAGAGGACACTAAAGACAGGAAGCCAACATATTTCCATTAAAGTATTCAAAATACAAGAGGAGGGCACTATGGCCGTTACATATTGTCAACAAAAAAAGAAAGATAAAGGTCAGGCTTCTCCTAAGGCAGCATTAGGAACATGCGTACTAACGACATCATCAGCCTGGGAAGAAGCCGAGTCCACAAATACCTCCTCATTGTCTCAATCCTCCTCGCCGATGCTGGAACTGAGGATTGGGGCTTGCCTCTCCTCTACCGGAAGTTTGGCCTCCTCCTCCGGATCCTTCATCTTAGGAGGCAGCTTCAACTTGTGAGCGAACTTCTTGTTCAACTTCAGCTCTTGGCACCTTCGGCGCAACCTCCTGTAGATGAGCCGTTGCATCCGCTGCTGGCCCATGTCGTAGTACACCGACATCTCCCTCTCAAAGTACTCCCGGCCGGCAGGAGAGTTCTGGCCCCAATCTTTGAGCCTGGCCGCCACAACCTCATAGCACTAGGACCAGCGCTCCTCTGCTTGCGAACCTTCGGCCAGAGATTTGTCAATGGCAGCATCGGCGGCTCTCTCGGCCTCAGTTTTGGCCTTCTCGGCCTCATCCGCCTGGCAGCGTTCTGCCTCACAGGCCTCCTTCTCACCAGCAAACTTGGCCAGTGCATCGTCCCTGTCAGCAGCCACTTGGCGGTAGGCCGCATCGGCCCTCTTCTTCAGGACCTCAACCTCGGTCCGCAACCGGTCTAGGCAGCTCGTGGCCTCCTCGGCCGAGGCAACTTTCTGCTCGACCTCTTTCAGCCGAGCAAACTCTTGTTGCTGCCTCTTATGGCTCTCCATTAGCATATGGTCCTCTGCAAAAATGAAAGGGTTAGGACGATGCAAACACTTATTACGACAAAAAAAAGACGGATATAATAAAGTACAAGGATCTTACTTGGACGACGAGGTCCATTCCGGTGTCATAAATTCTGACCGGGCCAAGCTTCTTCAGATAGGCCCGGTCTTCGACTGGGATGGCTTGTGAAAGCACATCATGGCCGTCGACGGCATCATTGAAGATGCCTCCCTTTACAGGGTACTCGACCTCCAGCTTGTAGGTCCCAGCGGCCAGCTCCTTCCCGGCCCTCCTCTTCCGGGAGTCCTGGACGATAGGGGGAGGTTGGGAGACAGAAATGGATGAAGGAGCAGAAACCAGGTCGACTACAGCGACAACATTGGAACCTCTAGCATCTCCGTCCAGCACGGTCGCAACCCCGGCACCAGCCTCGGCCGAGGGAGAAGCCCCCTTTGATTTCTTGGAAAGCTGAATGCCGGCCCCCGTCAGCTTCTTCTGGCCTTCGTCGACCTGCCGTTTCTTCTTCGGATGGGTGGGCGGTTTCGACACCTGAAAAGCGCTCGGCTATCCTCCAACATCAGCGGCCTGCTTCGCAGCATCCTTGGCGGCCTGTTCGGCATCCACCTTCGCCTTCGCCCTGCTCATGACAGATCAACGATCAATGACAAAGTCTACACAAAAACAAAAAACACATAAGCAAAGCGAAAAAAGGAAAAGGGGTCAAGTACTTTGGGAAGGCATTACCATCGGCTTCGGCAGGCACGCCCAAATCCGGGCTGTCGGCATCCTCAAAGGTGGTAGTCATCTTCGGCCATATGGCGACATCGTCCTCCGCATCCCCGTACACAAAGTACCTTACGAAGCCGAGGGCGGCCATCTTGTACTCCGTGATGTAGTGCTTCACGCTCCTCGGCCCCCTTCCAGGAATGCCGCCACCTGAGCTTCCAAAATAGAACTCTTCGGTGCATCATAGAGGTTGAACCTCCTGCTGTGGCCGAGGGAAGGGAACTCGGTCCCACCTTCGCCCAGAGACACGAAGACGAATCTGATTGGCATAGCCGACACAGTTCTGGTGGCTCCCACGGCCAATCTGATACAAGTTCATGAAGAGAGCCGTTGTCGGCTTGAAATCAACGAGTAGCTGTTCGGGGTCAGCAGGGCCGGAGGAAGCTGCACCATGTCCAAATACTCCGTAATGAACGGATGGAGGGGGAACCTGAGCCCCTTGGCAAAACTCATAGGGTATATTCCAAAATACCCCGACGGCCCCACGTACATCTGGGCAACCAGGTACTCGGCCGCGCAGCTCTGCGGCCTGATCATACGGACGTTAGCGAGATCCAAGAAGGAGAAAGCGGGACCCTTCTTCAGAAGGCGCCTTCTCTTCGGGACGGTCCCCTTGACCGTTGATGTGAGTTTTCTCGCACTTAAAATAGATTGTAGAATAGTGGTGTAAGTACGAGTATCGTCTCCACAGGGACAGACAAAAGGGAATTAAGAATTAAATAAATTCAGCGATTAAAAATAAATAAAATAAATGTGTCGTGCGAATGAAATAACGGTGTCGCCCAGAGACACAGGTTCAGAAGTTGGGCCACACCCACTCCCATCGGTACCCGTCCATTGCCAACACACCAACAATCAACATCCATAACGGCCAAGGCACTCAACGTCCACATTAAAAAGAAATATCTGCCTCCACAGGGTGTAAGGAATAATTGTAATTAGATTTTGATGATGCTATATTAATTAGGACTTTAGAGTACACCCTCTTTAGATTTATTGTATTAGAAATTTTCCTTATAAAGTTTCTTAGATTAGTCGACTAACAAAAGACCTCCTGACAGCAGACCCTCTGATAGGCTTTGTCCTGACAGAAGACCTTTGGCCCTTTGTTGATTCTTACTCAGACAGAAATCCTCTGGATCTCTGTTGGACATCACTACAACAGAAACCCTCTTAACTCTCTGTTAGTTCGCATCTGACAGAAGACCTAAAGGACCCTCTGATAGCTTTTCCAACAGAAGTGATCAAGACCTTCTCTGAGAGACTTTCTGCTGAAGATGCCAGAAGGCCTGACACCTGGAGAATTTTCTTGATACTACTTCAACCGGTGAAACCAACGAAAGATTCCTTCAATGGCTAGAAGACATCAACATGAGGAACTACAGTACACGCATTAAATGCACATTTAATGCCTCCCGTACTCTGTACAGTAAATGCAGATGATTGGCCGCAATGTCAGGATAGCTTTATCCCAAAATAGTAACCCGCCAACTTTGCTGGGTCCTACTGGTCAGGTCAACTGTTCGCGCATTTAATGCAGTTGTCCTCCTCCTCCTCCAACGGGAAGACAATCTCAGTATAAAAGATACACTATAAAGAACAACCGGATAATTTTGCTACAACATTACGAATACAGAAACATTCAAACATTCAAACATACAAGCCTCCTTGAGATTAAACCTTCATCATCTTCTACAAGAGAAGGCAGACTTTGGAAAGATTATCTACTCACATCTTCTCATTTCCAACTCAAGAAAAATTCCATTCGTTCTTCAACACTTCAAGCATTTCAACAAATATATCTTTTGTGACGAATCAAGTTGGAGGAACCCCTGTTTCACCTAGAAACTCTTCTCTAACGAGAAGGACATCCAAGTAACTGTAGCAGTGAAGTGGTGATACTTCCGGGAAGCTCAGCGAAAGGACTAGTCTTAAAGGAATCCATGAAGTGCATCCCAGGAGACATCTACACTTGAAGAACACGTGGAAAGCTTCTTAAGTGATAGGACTAAGATGTTGTAAATGGACGTTTTTACAAGCTTAGTGGAACAGTAGATTAGAGGAACGAGTTGTTCCTTGAACCACTATAAAAATCCCTGGTGTCATTTACTTACTACATTTACTTATCGCATTTAGTTAGAACTGATTAACTCCAAAGACTTGGTCTCTGTGTTCAGCAGAACGTGTCTTGTGAGTTAACAGAAGGCCTACTGCCTTTGCTTCTCTGAGGCTAATCGAACAAAACCCCTACCAGAACCACATCCGCTGCCAGTCTGTTCTATCAACAGAACAGGCTATTCTGTTAAATCTGGTACATAGCTTGTAAAGTTAAAAACCAGTACAGTCTATTCACCCCCCACCTCTAGACTGTACCCAGTATAACCGGGACCAACAATTGGTATTAGAGCCTCCTTGTTCTAATAATCTCTTAGGTTATTTGCTGAACAAAGATCCACTTGTTTTCTGTTTGCCTCTACTTTTAATCTCATATTATGGATCACTCTCTTTCCAAGAATCTTATGTTCTCAGATCTTAAGTTTGATGACTGGAGGATCCGGATGAAGGCACATCTCTGTGCCCTACATGATGAGATGTGGGAAGTATTGGACATTGGGCCATTCACAAGCTTCCAGAAGGTCAACCCTGAGCATGCTATAGACAACACCAGACCTTAGATGATCAATAAAGCCAAATATGAGTGGACTACTGAAGAAAGAAGAAAGTATAATCTGGACAACATTGCAAAAGACATTCTCTACAAGTCCATAGATGACAGATACTTCAACAGAATAAAGAAGTGCAAGACTGCCAAGGAAATCTGGGATACTCTTGAGCTCATTGGAGCTGGTGATGAGCAAGAGAAAGACAACAAGCTGACGATAGCCAACAACAAGTTTGATGATTTCAAGCTTCTCCCTGGTGAAAGCATCTCCAAAATGTATGACAGGCTCCTCACTCTCACTCGAGAGATCTCTGAGCTTGGCAACGAACTTACCACCAAGGAGATCAATCTCAAAGTGTTGAGGGGACTGCCCTCAGCATGGAAGATGAAGGTAGTTGCTGTTCAAGCCAGTAAGGATGTGAAGACCTACCCCACAGACAAGCTCATCTCAGACCTCAAAGCTCATGAGTTCGAGGTGATTGAAGAAAAGGAGGATGTACCAGAAGAAAGAACAACTACAGCCCTCACAGCTAGTACATCCAAGGTAAATGATTTTGACCCTTCAATCCTTTTATCTGACGAATATATGGCTGCTTTTGCTAGGAGATTCAAAAAGTTTATGAAGAATCCCAAAGATGGAAGAAGTCCATCTTCCAGCAGAAAGCCATTCCAGAAACCCAAAGCAACAGAGAGCAGTGGTGAGCTTCTCTGTTACAACTGCAGACAACCTGGACATTTCAAGGCAGATTGTCCACATCCAAGAGTGTCCAAGAAACAAGGGCATGATGGAGAAAAGAAGAAATATGAAGACAATTCCAGAAGAAGGAAGACACTCGTCACAGAACAGCTCGAGAAAGATCCTCTGTCTGAGACAGAATCCAGTTCTGACTCTGATTCTGATGAGGCCTTCTGTTGCCTTGATACTGAGACAGAAGACCTATGCCTCATGGCTCATTCTGATGATGAGGTAACCTCTACTTCTACATCTAGTTTTTCTTCGGTAGGCTTAGCTTTTGATTTTGATTCAATGTCAGAATTTTGGGAAGAGTTTAAGGCCATCCAAGCCACTTATTCCTCTGTTACAGAAGAAAACAGTAAGCTGAAGGTTGAGATTCTTGACTTAAGAAAGGAGGTTGAGACCAAAATCAATCTTCTAATTAAGGAGAGACATCAGCTGGAAGCTGAAAATGGTTTTCTTCTCAAGAGAATAAGAGAAATTGAGCCTCTTGAGATTAAGTACAAAGCTTACGAGAAGGCCCAGTCATCCATCGAAAAGATTGTGCTTGATCAACAGATTGGCATTGGATTTGGTCTTGGATATGGCTCAACAGAATCAGGTGAGCCTTCTGTAATGCCTAGCACCAGTGTTGCTAAGGCAGATAAGGTCATAGTGCCACGGATTTCTAGCCCCATCTGCCAAGCTGGTGTATCTGGCACCAAAGTTATTCATGAGGAAGTCATACCAGAAAAAGGAAAGATAAAGGTTCAACAGAAACCCCTTTTGAAAATCAATGAACCTGGCAAAAAACCTAACAACAGAAAAGGTTTTCAGAATAACAAAAATAAAAGACAAACCGTTAACAGACAACCTCATGATAACTATGCCAGAAATGATCACCAGAAGGGCAGATATCAAGAGAAAGTTAACTTTAGGCAGAAGAGGTTGGCTGGTCAACTTCAGAAGCCCAAAGCTAACCGCCCCTCTACTCTTGATAGTATATGGGACTTCTTTCCAACAAAGAAAGCTATGCAAAAATATGTAAACAGGAAGCATGACCCTCACAAGCATCTGCCCAAAGTGAATCACACTTCAGTTTACTATAACTACAAGGTGGACAATGGGTACCACCCACCAAGGTTTCACCTGATGAGACCAAAATGGTACCAACTACCCAGACTCCATGACCCCCCAGGACCCAACATTGCTTGGGTACCTAAATCTTTCTTTTGATCATGCAGGAACTGTGTGCTGGAGCTATCTCTGAGCAAGAATGGTTTATTGATAGTGGATGCTCCAGGCACATTACAGGTGAAAGAAGTTGCCTAACAGAGTTCCAGAAATGCAAAGGACCTAGAGTTACCTTTGGAGGTAATGACAAAGAAGGTCAAACAAAAGGAAGAGGGAAGCTGATCAAGAACCAGATAATAATTGATGATGTCTCATATGTCAAAGGCCTGAAGTTCAACTTGCTGAGTGCTAGCCAATTCTGTGACAAAGGCTACACTGTTGAATTCACAAAGGACTTCTGCTTTGTGAAGCATGAGACAACAAAGGAAGTGGTTCTTACAGCAATAAGGAAGAAGAACATCTATGTGGTTGATTGGAAAACTGCAAAAGATGGAGTATGTCTGATAGCCAAGGGAGATTCAAAACTAAGCTGGGACTGGCACAAGAAGCTTAGTCATTTGAACTTCAAAACAATCAACAAACTGACAAGAGAACACATTGTTGATGGACTGCCAGACATAGTATACAAGAAAGAGACTCTCTGCAGTGCATGCCAGAAGGGAAAGCAACAGAAGAACTCTTTCAAACCCATTGCTGGAGATCTTTCTACAAGTCCTTTAAATCTGATCCACATGGATTTATTTGGACCTGTTGAGACTCCAAGTGTTGCTGGCAAGAAGTACACTTTAGTCATGGTTGATGACTACTCCAGATATACATGGACTATCTTCTTGTCAAAGAAAAATGAAATTCTTCAGAAGTTGCCATCTCTGTTAAAGCAACTTCAGACTGAGAAGAATTTGAAAGTCAGGACAATCAGGTCTGACAGAGGAACTGAATTTGTCAACCAAGTCATTAAGGACTTCTGTAATCAAAATGGAACCTTTCATCAACTCTCTGCCGCCAGAACACCTCAACAGAATGGCATAGCAGAAAGGAGAAACTGAACGTTGAAGGAAGCTGCAAGGACAATGATTGCATAATCTGGATTACCTATGAGATACTGGGCTGAAGCAATCAACACTGCATGCTATACCCAGAACAGAAGTATGATCAACAAGAATCACCAGAAGACCCCTTATGAAGTTTGGAAAGGAAGAAAACCTAACATCAGTTACTTTCATGTATTTGGATGCAAATGCTACATTCTCAACAATGGAAAGGAGCATCTGAAAGTCTTTCAAGAGAAAGCTGATGAAGGTGTATTCATAGGCTATTCAAGCACCAGTAAAGCCTATAGAGTACTCAACAGAAGAACCCTACATGTTGAAGAATCTATACATGTAAAGTTTGATGATAGCATCTCTGTTGAAGAAGTAACAGAGACCCTCAAAGAAGTCAACATAGAAGACAGAACACCTGAACCAACAGAAGAGGTAGCAGTTAATCCTGCGTTCCCTACACCTGCACCAAACCCCCTTCTGTTGGATGATGATGAAGATTAAGAAGAAGAAGAACCAGAGAGACCCAGACAACAACTGACAGAACCTGATCTGACATGGTTAAGGGATCATCCTCCTAACAAGGTGATTGGACAAATCAGAAGTGGTGTGCAGGCCAGATCTGCTACCACAAGAACAGAAGCAATGTTTGCCTGCTATATATCTCAAAGCCTTTGCCTGAGGCTAGATTCAACAAACTTAGAGAAGAATTGGGAATGATGGATGAAATTCCAAGAGAAAGTTGAAAAGGAAGACCTTCTGTTACAGATTCTCTGTTAACAGAACCTATGTTGCAGAACCCCTTCTGTTCTCTACTCTGAACAGAGAACCTCCAATCTTAGCAGAACAACTCAGCAACACAAACCCTCCTCCTACCTTCAGAAACTCTCACCTCTAACAGAAGACAGTGGACTTAGAAATATTTTGAGAAAACCGGGTGACCTAGTAACTTAATGAAGGTCGTTTACCCTTTTACCCTTAAAACGGTATCATAGCCGCAAAACATTTACTGCGCCCCTATTTTCATTTATTGGTACCTCGGAACCGCCAATAATCTCAAACGTCCACTAACCCGAACACTTATATTCCAATCTTTTCAACCTAAACCGCTACTGTTCTCATTACTCTCAAATCTTCGAACTTCCATATCTCTCTAGCTCTCAAATTCTCACAACTCTCTGCAATGGCTTTCTTGAACATCAACGACCTCACCGAAGAAGAAATCAATACCTTGGTCGCTAACATCTATACTGGGATGAACTGCGATCTTTCCGCACTCCCTGAACTAGCAGCAATACAAGAAACGATGATGAAAATCATCAAGGGTATGGAGGAATCACAGCTCTGCAAGGTGGTAGGTTATCATTTCGATTCCTACAGCACAAAGGATGTGGCTGAGTTCTATCTCAACACCACATTAGAAGGGGAGACTATCAAATCTCATGTCCATGGTGATGACATCATCTTCACTCCTGAAACTGTCAACGCTCTATTTGGCGTAATGGAGGATCCCCAAGAAGAAGACACTGAAGGCTTCATAGCCCTAGACAGTGTCAAGGTCACTGTTGATAACTTCGTCCAACTATACTGCAGACCTGAAGTGGATAGAGTTCCCAAATTATACATGAAGAAGAATCTACTTCAAAGTGACTATGAGAAGCTGGTCAACATCTTCCATAGGTGTGTCTGGAGCAAGAGCACCTCTACTGACGATATGACAGTTCTCAATGCAAAAGCTGGTTTTTCAATTCATCACGGGATGAACATCAACTGGGGATAGGTAATCATCAAGTCCCTAGTTGAATTTATCAAAAAGAAAGATAAGGAAACCGGTCTCTTCAAAACCCCCATGGGTTATGGCCTTCTGCTATCAGAAACTCTGCTAAAGGCCAGAATAGGGTTGAGAAACCCTGTTGAGACTGACTACACCAAATTACTCTTCCTCAACACCTCAAATGATAGGAGAGTAGCTCTGAAGGCTGAACAGAAGAGGTTGAGGACTCTGGAGTTTAACCGGGAGAAACTCCAACAGAAGGTGATCAAGTCCAAGAAGGCTGTGAAGAAACAGCAGAAACCCTCTACCCCTCAGATTCCGAGGAAGAAGAGCTTCTGATAAGAAAGCCTGTGAAGAAAGTTGTCACAAAGAAGGCTGCCACAGCCAAAGTCCAGAAGCTGGTGGCAAAGAAGTCTGTAATAAAGAGAAAGGCATCTTCTTCTATTTCAACAGAAAACACCCCTTCTGCCTCTCCCATTGTGAAGAAGGCCAAGATTCTTACTTCTACAATTCAGGGGGAACCTGTCAACCTAACCCCTTCTGTGCAACTCATCACGAATGCCTAGCAAGGCAAGAAGATTGTGTTCGAGTCAAGTGACTCAGAAGATGAAGTAGTAGTGCTGGATTCCACTACTCAGGGGGAATCTCACAGATCTCCCTCTGCAACTATGTCTGATCTACCCTTGCTGACTTCCTCACCAGCACATCATGAAGTCAACAGAACCCCTGAGCCCTCAGAACCTCAGGAGGATAACTCATCTGTCCTAGACAAACAAATTTTCAGGGTTCTAACATGGAGAAAGTGGAGAGTGGGATCTCTCTCTGAACTGCTCAGAATGCTCCCCCACTTCATCATTGAGGAAGCTGAAGTTCTCAAGTGGGCTGGAACTGAAGATGTTGAGCAATGCCTCAACAAGGATTTCCTTCTATCTGTTCTAGCAGAAAAGAAGAAGGAGAAATGCAAAGAGAAGGGCAAGTTGATTCATGTTGATGAGGAGGAACATGTCAGAGCATTAGCAGAAGATGAAATGGCTGCTTTTGATGAGTGGTTCATTGAGAAGAAGCGCAAAGAATCCTTGATCAAGTTTCACCCATGCTGAAGGAGAACCATCAACAGCTAACGATCTCCCATTAGCCATGGAGAAGCTGGTCAAAGAATGGAGGGACTCACAATTCAAAGAAACCGTACTTGAGGTAATCTCTAAATCTCCCTTTGTTCATACAGAACCTCACATTCCCTCCCCTCCTTTATCACCTTCTAAACCTCAACCTTCACCCAAAATCCCAACTCTCTTTACTACTCCACCTCAATCCCCTCACCAGAAATCTCCATCCCCACAGAAATCCTCACCACGAAACAAAACAACTCCTCAACCGAATACCCCTCCACCCTCACCTCAGAAAACCCCTTCCAAGGAGGAAACTCTCTCCAAGGAAAAATCTCCATCTAAATAGAAAACCCCATCCAAACATTCCTCACCTTGTAAACCCATCAAATCCAACAGAAACCGCTCACCTTCACCTCCACCGTCTCTACATCAACAGAGAACGCCTCTGACTCCAAATTCCAAATCACCTACCCCACCTCAACAAAAGTCACCCTCCCATGCTGCAAACTCTCCAAGAACCTCTCTTCACTCTGCTGCATCCATTCCAAAGAAACAGCCTCTACACCGTGTCCTCTCATCTGATAGTGACAATGATGGATTCCTTCCATCCTCCTTAGCTGGAGATCTCACCTCAAAGAGAAGAAAAACTCCTACCAGAGAACCCTCTCCATAACATCCCTCTCTGCAACAAACCAGAAGGCCTCCTATGCCCAGGTCAAAAGGACTGGGAATGCCTGAGTTTGAAGAAACAGAACCCCAAATTCCCTTTAATCAGTTCGTTGAAGCTGTAGAAGAACTTGGTGGTCAAATGTTGGATGGAATGAACAAGCTCATACAAATCAATGACAAGCATTTTGAGCATCTATCTCATGTCAATGACAATCTCAACTCTAGTATGAATTTCATCTCATCTCGCTTTGCTACAATAACATAATCCCTCAACACCTTCATGGCCTCATCCACTGCCAAGACTGACGCTCTCACCACAGAGGTTGAAGGTATTCACAAAACCCTTTTCACCTTTCACCAGACCTTGATGGCTCAAGGTAAAAGCCATTGAAACCATCTCTGGAAATCTTGAAGAGCTTCAATGGGCTGACACCAAGATTAAGGAACAATTGCTGGACATTGAGGAATTGTGCAAAGTTCACTGCGATCAAACTAGAACTCTATTTTCTGCTGACAAAGAAAGATACCAGAAATTGGTTCTACTTGAAGCAAGTTCCAAGGATATTGCCTCAGCTCTCCAGAAGCAACATGGTCTGATAGAAGGCCTCACCTCTGTCACACAGACTCTTCCAGAAACCCTTGAGCAGCTTGCCACATCTCAGAACTCAGAGTTTCAAAAGATATCTATGATGATCTCTGACCTAGATGATGCCAAAAAGGGGGAAGATGATCCCCAGCGGAAGAAGAAGATACAATCTTCCAGAACCTCAGCTAGCCTATCTGTTGATCCAGCCCCTTATTTCCAGGCTTCTATTCAAAAGAAGAAAGAAGCTGAATTTACTAGATCTTCATCTCCTCATAGAAACACATCCAAGAAGAGGAAAGCTCTAAACTTCAGAGAATGGAGATTAAATTGATCTCAGAGGATAGGTAGAGCTCAGTTTGAGGAAATACAACAGAAAATGACTCCTACTCAGCAGCAGAACCTTTATCTTGACAGAGATGGTCGAATAAGAGTTAGGCATGGCGGCTCACTGGAAGAAGCTGAGTACTGGTATCATAATAGAATTCTTCCAGGGAAGGACGTCCATGAAGGTGTCCTCAACTATCTTGACTGCAAGCTATCACCCATTTGGGCATCTTATCAAAGAGCTGGGAACCTCACAGAGATCAGAGAAGAAGTCAATGCTGAGTTGAAAAGGCTGAAAGAATTTGATGATCAAGCTATAGCTCATGCTGCAAGGGAAAATATGTAAAGGACCACTCCTACCCTTTCCCTTAATAAAAGAACATCTCTGCCTTTCACTTTGTAAGGCAATTCTTTCATATCTGATTTTAATCTCTGTTATGATTATGTTTGTTACTTTTTTTTTCTTTTCCTGATTATTATCTGCTATCTGAATGTGCCGTACTCTTACTATTTATACTTTAACTCTTTATGGTGAAGGCACTTCTCTGGAAATAGTTAAAGGGTTTTGGCATCATCAAAAAGGGGGAAATTGTAAGGAATAATTGTAATTAGATTTTGATGATGCTATATTAATTAGGACTTTAGAGTACCCACTCTTTAGATTTATTGTATTAGAAATTTTCCTTGTAAAGTTTCTTAGATTAGTCGACTGACAGAAGACCTCCTGACAGAAGACCCTCCGATAGG